GGTCCCATTACATTTGAACCCACGACAATTGCACCTGCATACTATTGCATCTATGGAAAATTTTTTTGTTTTACGGATATTTGAACCCATACTAATCCTAACCCATGAGTTTAAGCACCCGCATATAGATTGGACCCGCGAGTATGCACGTGGGTTCAAATGTATGTGGGTTCAAATGTACGGTCACCTATATAGTTGCATTTGATTATAGTATTTTTTTAAATTTATCTATTTTGTTGCCTCCTATCCACCCGGTTTATAAATATATTGGGCCGTTTTATTGAGCAGTATAACTATAAATATAGAAGATTTTTAATACGCACGCATCAACTGCCAAAATTAAATAGGTATCAGGTTAACATTTGTGCGATTTTCCAACCAGAATTTATCGGCGGAAGTTGGTTTTCATATGCTATATATTGGATGGTAAAATCATCCTAGAATGAGGTTAACGAAAGTTTCACACACGCCTATTTGAGCTACTGATTGCGGTAGCTGTAAAGCTTTGTTCCTCAAATATGAAAATTTTATTTTCCTCCCAGTGCTACGTCATGCCAACAAATACTCATTTAAAACCTCATTCCGGTTGACCAATACTCAACGAAATAACATATTTTTGAATTTTAATCCGAATACACACGTCCGAGTCGAATGGTATCCACGGCTGCAGCAACTTAGCAGAGTAAAATTTTTAAGCTACCACTTATGGTGGTGAATTACCATTTAGGATTTCAGACAATACGCCTACATTGAATGGCTTGAAAAATCATGTAAATAAGACGCCATTCCAAGATTTCAAACATTTTTGATTAGTCATTATTTTCACTCACAGGAGCTATGAATCTTTTGCATACTTAAATCTAACCATAATATCTACTTGTACGCTTCAATAATCTCATTGGCATAGTTGCGCCGTAGAGCGTTGGCAGGGCGCAGCTATATTCGGGACGGAGTCGGAGGTAGCACTGTGAGAATATTGGGGAGAGAGCAGTGGGTTGAGGACAGGAAGTCTGAAAGGGATATGGCAGTGGGTCGAGTATAGAAATATTGAAGGGGGTTTGGTGGCGGGTCACGGATATGAAAGCTGAGGGTTGGAGATAGGGATGCTGAAAGCGGTGGGGAAGGAAATCTAGGAAGAATTGGACAATGGGTAGCAATGATGATGAAGATATGGCAGTGTGTAGGGGATAGGGATAAGAAGACTGAGGCAGATATGGCAGCGGATAGAGAATGTGAAAGCTGCGGGGTAACAAAATCAGGCTAGAAAACTCGTTATTAAAGACTTTTTCAGTATTCTGAAACCGCCTGAGTGATTCAACCCACGACGTAAATCTCCGTATTCATCAGGCCTTTCACGAAGTAAGTTTTGTAACACTTGCTCAGTCTGCTTCTACGCACTTACTAATTGAGAGTAAAACAAGCAGCAACCTTATTAAATATGGGAAAATCTATCTATCTGGAAATCTCCATGATACCATATAATCGCGTATGTTTCTCCCTGTTTTTTATAGTTTAGTAAGAGGTAACCGTAAATGTACAATGCTTGATATAGTATGACAACTTATACAATCGGGAATTAGAATATGCAGCCACGTACTGAACAACCGCTCCTTTAAATCATGAAATACAAACAATGAGTTTGAGATGATATCGTTATATTTTGTTATTCACTCGATTCTAAACTCTTTTTTTTTATAGAATTTTCCGATTATTGAATATTGATCCTTTTGATTTTTGATAAGTATCTTTCTTTTTCGTTCTTATTCTTAACCTAAATAAATAATATATATTAAATTAAAATAGATGAAAATGAAAAATTTGTTTTGCAGAGGTATTTTTGTATGTATTGCGCTGTGTTGTATTTTGTGTCTTTTCAACTAAATTATTACTTACAACTTGGTATCTCGCAAAACTCCCATCTCTTTTCTGAATCCATAGTGTAGCACCATGGTCTCGCCTCGTTGTCTGGATTACGACAAAAGTTTGCATCTAGTCCTGAGTGAGGATAGTTGTCTTTTGTTCTGAATGCGGTTGAATTTAATTTTCAGTCCAAGTTCAGAAAACTTCTTACCTGCATCTAATCACGATTCATGTGTTGAAGAATTGGAATTACAGTCCAGAACCTGTTGTCAGCGAGTTCGAAACAATAGAACCCTTTCTTAACATTTCAAAATCATCACTAACGTCCTTAACGTCACAGTGCAGTATATATTTATATATATATATATATTAACATGCATCTACTTGCAACAATGCTGTTACAAATCTGTTCTTTTCTAGCAACTTGTATTGCTGCTTAAAAATAAAATTTGAAATGAATTAACGACCACAAAAATTTGACTTGAAGGGTCACACAAAATCTGAAATAACAATGGATTAGGATTAACGCGATTGAAAGTATGAGGAAAGTTGACCCTATCAGCGTGGGCTTACCCCAGTACTATTTAACGTACTTAATCGGAGCGAACCCCAACTACACTCCAGAGGACAATATAAGCATACAATTGATTGTAATGCCAAATATTTGTATATATATATATATTGTAAAGTTACACAATCGAATTGGTCCAAATACCAGATAACTAAATACACTTTAAAACGTAACTCAAGTAACCAAATTATCAACTTACCAAGAACGATAAAACAAAGAAATACTTGAGCGAGGGAAAATACGTCATATTATGTACCCTTAATAATACGTGGTTAAATGTATCGAGATACACGGTACATATTCTTGTGTACTCGCTACGACAGCATATCGAAAATTATAAATATCCTTCGCGAATCTTAATATACCCAACGACGTATAGGACTCCAGAGCAGGCTATATCTGGTAATATTTGAGATGGTTTCATTGCATTTGAACCCACGTACATTTGAACCCACGACAATTGGACTTTCATACTATTGCACCTGGAATTTTTTTTCACGTATATTTGAACCCATACTAACCCTAACCCATGGATTTTAGCACCCTCATGGATGGATAATACAACAGCGAGAGACGAGGCGAAACTGATTTCCATTATTAATCCAATTAGCTTACTTAGATTGCCCAGGCTCGATTACCAATCAACGATATCCTGTGCTTTATCGATCTGAAGTCAAATACAGAAGGGCTTTTCGTGGATGCAACAGCAAGTTTCTCGTTGATGCAAAGTTTGAATAAATATATATAACCCCAAAAAGATAATCTTTTTCACAATAAAAATATAATTTTAAAAAAATAATAATAAAATAATTTTAATAAAAAATGGTTTCTCATCTCTCTTATATATTTATAATTTCGGCATGGTTTTCTGAAATAAGGAAACCTTTTGCGAGTTCAATTGACAATAATAGTCTGATCTTTAAACAAGATAGCTATGCTCAAATTTATGAACACGTCACAAAGTGTCGCTACATTTTTATTCTGACACATAACAAACGAATTTCTTGAAGTTTACAGAAATTTTCAAAATAAGTAAAAGTAATAGCCTTCTTGCCAAAAAATAAATTTTTAACCACTGAAAATTTCAAAGCAATTGGTACAGTATTCGTAGAGAAAAGCGATTTCATCATTACTAAGGAGAAGAATAATAACAAGAACAACCACATAATATTGAAACGATCGTTATGTACACTGACGTGTCCGATTATGAATGTAGTATTTAGCAATGGCAGTTCGTTTACGTGCTATTAAACACCGATTGTTTTGCAGACTTGAATACGTCCAAAAATATGTTTTGGGTGTTTTAATGGCCGTAGTGGTGAACATAATAAAGTGAAATAAATTTTGTTAAATCCAACAAATCACTGTATGTGATTTTGAGTTACAACAGCAAGCGTACGCTAGGGTCTCAAAAGAATACGCAACATCATATCTCTTAGCGCAAAATATACAACATTTAGAAGCCGATTAACGCCATGAGATTTCTACTTCTAGTGGGTTTACCTATTTGTTATATTTTATCTTGTCAAAAATGTACGTGACAACATTTAATATTGGACATGAGAGACCAGCTAGTCGGCCAAATAAATATATTTTGAATCTCCATAATCATTCATCTTCTAGGAGTATTTGGCTCCAGTATAGGCTATCCCAGGCTGCCAGTTACGGCATTAAGCGCTTGAATTAAAACTAGCGCCTCTTATCGGATTATTACACCTCAAGCTGCAGCGTGCGTGTCGGTTTTTTTTCATTAACACTAGACATAGCACCTTTAATTAGTGAGACACCAAAGCATATATTTTTTTGCGCCACGAATGGTAGAATTACGACGGTTCCTGATACTAATATTTGATAAGTGCAGAGAAGTATTGTCAAGTGACTTCTAATCGATAGAATGCTAACGGCTTTTCCAAAACCTTTTTCTTTTTATTAGCTGGACCAATCAAATCCGTTTCTTGTGGTAGGCTGATACGAGATTATATATGTGTGTGTGGCGTGCTGTTGGATTAGTGAAACGTCGCCGTTGCTCTTGTTTGTTGAGTTTTCACGTTTCACTCCTTTATTGATAATTCAGCGCTATTTCTGAAACGGAGCGGGCATTAGGGGTTCTTGAGCAAGTTTTTACAATGTAGGCTGTAAGCAGGAATACAGAATAAGAAAATCGAATTACCATTGTAGTCTCGTTATTTTCCTGATATTGGAATGGCGGATGGAAAAGGTTTCAAATACCAGAATACAGAGATACTGAAAATTCAAATCTCTCGCTGTCGAGTTCTTTGGTAGTGGATTGTCATCCAACGTAGCAGTTGTCAGCACCTGCCTTCAATCTGTCAATACACAATCGCTGAATCGGTTGATCATTTGGTGGTAAATAAACTTTTGATTCTGGTTGACATCCTGATTTATAATCGGTTTGTCCCTGGAATTATAATGGACTTCCTTTTGTGTTTCAACTGGAGTAATCTAGTGTATCAGCTGGAGTTCTCTTATTTGAAATCACAATTTGATAATGATTTAAAGATGATGTGGTGTACTATGACTGTATGACCACAGTCTGGCGGTGAAATTTTCAATAAAGCTAGAATTTCGGCTTCCATTTTGGTGTTCAGTAGCATTCAGTCACGTATTCTTGGAATATCTGAAGTCTACTTGGCTGCTTGGTGGCAACACACACTAGAACAGCTGGAGTTGCATCAATTTTATCATCTTTCAAATATGAAAATGGAGCAATTTGATCAATTGAGGTTACAATGCCACTTGTTTAATAGCTTTTTATAAGTTGATTCATTTGTTGCACTGCTGTGTGCTTTAAAATTTGTGAGAGATTATTTGAAGAAAGAAAATTTAAAGCCTATCCAATCAAGCAAACCATCAAATATGGGTGACAAAATTGATCTGTCTTTGGATGACATTATTTCTCAAAACAAGAAGGGTAGAGGTGGGCGAAGAGGAGGTGGCGGTGGAGGAAGAGGGCGTTTCGGCGGACGGGGAGGTAATTTATCAACATTCTGACATTTATAATTTCACCAAATGTTCATATATCAGTATGAGAATTTTTGATAACTGATTAATCCACATCTTATACAATCTTAAAGAGCTTACTAACTTGGGACTCTTTTGCTTCAGGAGCCAGAAGAGATGGAAGGAGAGGAGGGGGAGGTGGTGGCGGACGAAGAGGTGGAAGACCTGCACCTTACAAAAGATCGGGAGGTGTGCCCGATGATAAATGGGATCATGACATGTACAGTGGAGGTGGTGCAGGTCCAGTCAGGAGAACTGGTGGTGCCAGGTGTGGTGCATTGTTCCAAATTTTGCGCAATTCAATAAATCCCATATTTTATTCACCATCATCTGATAAATGATTTTATAGAATTGTAAAAAATGCATCGAACAAATATTCACCATCCTGTTGGCATTTTTCAACTTTATCAAGTATCTACTTTTAAAATGATTTGTAAAACTTCAATACATGCAGTCGTTTTGTGTTCATATTTTACCTCAATGGATATTGTATTACTAACTATAATTTATGACCATCTTCTTAAATCTTCATCATGTTTCAGAGGCAATATTGGTGGAACTGGCAAACTTCTGGTGAGCAATTTAGACTTCGGTGTGTCTGATCAAGATATTACAGAGCTATTTTCGGAATTTGGAGCCATGAGGAAATCTGCGATTCATTATGATAAATCGGGTCGTTCAATGGGATCAGCTGATGTTATCTTTGAAAGGAGGGCAGATGCAGTGAAGGTGAATTTTTCAAGATATCTTAATGGTTGCCTGTCATTCAAATTTAATGACATTTAAACCTCACAATATACTTGACTGACCATTAGTGATCATATGTTTTTTTCTGAAGGCAATGCAACAGTACAACGGTGTTCCACTAGATGGACGTGCGATGGAGATCAGACTGGTCGATGGGTCGGGAAATGTGAGCGGTGGTACCAGGGCACAAGGTGGATTAGGTTCTCGTGTTGGCCCAAAAAATCAAGGTAACTCCATAGTTGACATTTTAATTGAATTAGTGGGTTAGAACAATTACTAGAATGATGTAGTATCAATAATTTGAAAAATGTACAAAAAGCATGCTTATGACATATTGGATCTTGTAGAGTTGTAATAGGGATTTTAAAAGCAATTTGTTTCTATCATAAATAGGTGGTGGACGTGGCGGCGGAGGGAGACGAGGTGGAGGAGGTGCTGGTCGTGGAAGGGGTAGAGGTGGTGGACGAGGAAGACAGGCAAAAGAGAATGTCTCTGCTGAAGAACTTGATAAACAACTTGATGACTACATTTCTAAAATGGAAACTGAATGAAATTTGTGCAAAAGACTGCCTAAACTGCGAATGACCTGCATTTCAACGCAATCACAGTGATTGTTGTTCTATGCTGCCATGAACACATAATGATGTCGCCGCGCCCATAACTTTATGTATACAATTCTTTCTCATGTGGAGTGTGTGCCGGGATGAGAGATCATGGCAACACTTCGGTTTTTATATTTCATTTTACTGTTTAACAAGGCTAACTTTTTATCAATGAGGTGTCTGCTGCAATAACTGTTAGGTTTAGTATACAAGATTTGGAGTAAAATGACAGAATGGTGGGCGTTTCTCCATCACCCATATATATATATGGAGGTGTATGATTGAATTTTGCCTGGCCCTAGCAATTAATTGTACTGTTTAACAAGGCAAACTTCTTATCAATGAGGTGTCTGCCGCAGTAACTGTTAGGGACAGAATGGTGGGCGTTTCTCCATCACTCGTATATATGGAGGTGTATGATGAAGTTTGCCTGGTCTAGAAGCGGGTTGTCATGCCTGCAGCATAAAACTGCCAGCCAAAGTATTCCAACGTAGTTGGTAAATAGAGAATGAGAGCAAGTGAATTTATGAGATCCAGCGATCCAATCGCTTTCAGCGCTGTAATCTGTCACCGGTCAATACATGACATCCTGCTGACCCCTGTGTTTACATGCTGTTTAGGAATAATAAATATTTTTGATTTAAATTGAAATGGTCTCTGTACTATATTTGATCAATGTTAATATTTCAATCCATTATTTAACCGCTCAAACTGTGGAAGAATCCAAAACACTGAGTTAGCCAATTTTTTTTGTCATCACAAGTGCACAGAAGTTGACATAGCAAAAAATATATACTTTGAACGTTATGAGTGGACGGGAGTCATGAGGTGTTCAAGACGCAACACTTTTAACGCAACTAGTTGCATCTATTGACTGTGTAATAGTCGCCAAAAAATTCGCAGCAAAGGTAATTTGCTGAAATGTGTAATAGAACATACACTAAAAAAGCATTTTGCGAGTAAATTTAGAGAAATGTGTGCAGATTACAATAAAAAATGTTTACAGCAAAGGTAATTTGGAAAAGGCATGTACGATACACAGTTGATAAACTTCAAGGAAACTTACAACGAAGACTGTTTTGAAAACATATCCTTATATTTATTTTAGTTCACAGAAAAGAAAATGCATCGCACAGAAAATGGTCATGAATTTGTAGAATGCCTGGCTTAATAAATTGCTTTCAATCAGGGTTTGCCCTATTAGAGTGGCAGGTACTTCAAATTCCTTTAGTTCGCCCAACTTCCAGAGCGTTGTTCCATGGTTGTACTACATGCCGCCCTGTATTTGAGAACAACTTCGGTCGCGAGATTTTGCAAAATGTATTTTTTTTTTAAATTTGGGTCGTTCGATAATTGACCCACCCCCTTTTACTATTTTGGATCTCTTTATTCCTTCCTAGCTGCGGATAAAAAAAACTTTGTTTCCTGTATTTGTTCAAGCTTCAATGTATTCCTAGATAGTGTCATGCGCGATCCACATCCCCGTACAGTTTATATAGTTTATAATGTGTTATACTAATAATAAGGATTAAAAATATTAGCAATACTACAACAAATACAAGCAAAGAACATATTACATTGCGCAATTGTTTGTTTTAGTGAGCCTTAATATTTTAAGACTGAGCAGAGTCCCATATGATTTTCAAACTTTGTGAAATATTACAACGACAATATGTTATAGAATGCGAACAAAGTACGTACACATTTGAATCAAAAAGCTTTTCCTTGTTATCGTGATTTTTTGATGTTTATTGCTGGCCCGCAGGCGTCGGTCAGCCCTGGCACTGTAAGTTGGGTGAAATAGCTCTTTATGAATCCAAGTAGTTTGACGTAACAGACACGTGGGAGACATCACAATGAACAGTGGTAACGAAAATACGGTACTAGTGATTTAGTGAAACATGAATTTCAGCGAGAAGTTAGGGGGTATGGCGGGCCACGCGCCGCTTTGAAAACGTAATGTTACAGATTCAGATTCATTACAGTTGCGCGAGGATGATATTTTACTGCGCAAATGATTTGGTGGTACTGCGCAATGGCACAGTTGCGCACCTTAGAGGAAACCTTGCTTACCATATATATGAAACCAAAAACCGGGGCAGTGCGGAGCGGACAATCTCTGGTTCGATCCCGATTCCCGAGTCTTAGTAATATCTGAAACTACTGCCACGCTTTGCGAGCAGATACCGGGCATCCAAATTAAATTAGCTCGTACGCGGGGTCGAAAAACATTTTTTATATAGGCAAGGCTGCCATGACATGCTAATTTCTAAGATTTGTCCTTATCTTGAAGGTCTTTGTCTTAGAAAATATTTTTGAATTATTTAATTCAAGAATCGTCCTTATTTTGACATGTGTCCTTATTTTATTGATTGAGGTTTTTATGCCAGGCTCTTAAATTGGTCAATTCGAATGATTGATTTGCTAGAAATGATATTTTACAACTTCATTGATTGCTGCGCGCATTTATTATCTAATAACAGCAAATTAATCGACACAATTACAAAACAATAACCTACTCAGCCTACTGGACAAAATCAGTATGTGGAACTTGCATCAAAATACAACTTAAAAGTGAGATGAAAAAAATTGTTTCTAAGAATAAAGAACTGCTGTAGCACATCCTTTCTAGTGCAAAGTATGATTATACATTGGACTGGTCGCACTGGCATGAAAACATTTTGTTTATTACATTTCGTTCTTTGTAATTTTATCATTAGGTTTCTCTGATGTCCTTATTTTTGGCTTCATATCGATGCAGCCCTGTTTAAAGAGGTAGGACATCCTTGAGAGTTAAAATAACTTTCCAATTCTTCGAACATTTCAATAATCTTTTACCCGGCAGGTAATAAAGAGAGACTCCTGCGGTTGACATACTGCAACAGCGTTGGTACACCTGAGCCCATTTATTCGGCACGCGGGCGAATTCTCGGAAACGAGATCATTTTTCTTCGGGTGAAAAGTTTCCAAGACTCGGAAATATCTGATAAAACTAGGTGTTAATTTATTCACTATCGTTTGTTAACAATCCGTTATTTATTTAAACTCCATCTGTCCTTTCGTGACATATGGCTACAAATGAAATATATATTATGACGTAGAAAATGGGCGAGCTCTCGAAAAATTTTGTCGAGAAGAGCACAGCATTCATTTGGCAACATTCTCACGTAATATAGATCGTCTGTGCCACCCTTTTCTTCATTTCTGCTTGATTTATGTAATACAGCTCATGTTGGTTAGAGTTACTTGCTAACTTACTGTTATAAATTGTTTTCGAAAGAAATATAAGCGATTATGGAAGGGGATACAAGAGAGAAGTGTAGAGAACGAACTGTTGCGTGTTTGGGATGTCATCCCCGAATTTTTTTCGTGTCTTAAAAACTCTGCAACTGCGTTACTCTCCATATTTTTATCTACATAATATATGCTTGTGAATCTCTGTTCTCAGTTATGAACCTTATTAGGTTACAAATTATAAACCCAATGTGAAATCTCTATCAGCTGTAATGTAGCATCTTTTTCATGAAGGACAAATATACAGTGTATTGGAATATGAACAGCCACACAATCATGTGGAAAATTTTCAAAGATTCCTCTCAGATCTGAATTTAAAGTGGTGACTTGTGCGAAGATCATAGCGTACGCAGAGTACATGGTTTCTGTATAATATATTTAGAATGCTTTCAAGTTAATTAAAAGAAACCGATAAAGCGAAATAAGGATAACATAAACAAATAGCGAAACTGTCATATGAATATCTGCATCATCCGTGTTGATTGTTCTTTTGCGACCACGAGACGCGTATCGTAATATTTACTTTTTTCCAGTTAATTAATGCTCGATGGTGATGGTTGGTAATACGCTATGAATTTAGCGCGAATTTGAGGGATGTGGCTCTGATGACCGTATGGTCGTATCGCTCTCCCCTATCTATACCGAGTAACTTTTCGTATATTGTTGTATGTTTCTATTATTGTTGCAATGCTTGTTTTTTTGGTTGACAAATAATAAATCTCGCTCTAACATGCAAAAAAACGTTTGAATATAATAATTATAATTCTTGGGAGTGCATGTCGTACATCTGTGTCTTAGGACAGTAAGGTCTTGAACATGTATCTCGTCTCTGTTTTACTGTTCAATTATTATGCAGATATTGTTAAAATTTCGAGGCAAATAAACATATATACATGCAGCAAGCAAGCGATCGTTTATATAGTGTCATGTAGTGAGGCTGGTGTTTTGATACCTGCTCTTATAGGTATGAGCAGTTCACACAAATTTTGGTCTTTTTGCTGATTTGCGTAGCAGGTTTTCTTTCAAATCCCAGAAGAAGTGGAACTGGCGGAAGCCTCAGTGCGGATTTGGCATGGCAGCACAGAAGAGGCGGGACTGGCGAAAATATAACCTACACAAAAAGCGAATCACGGGAAATTCGCACAGATTCGAAAGTTTTCCGTCTCCGATCCCACATTTACAACATGCGATATTAGGGAATATAAGGGTTTTTTAGTAAAGAAAAACGTGGGTGTGCATGGGATTGTACAGGAGAAAAATTTTATTAGTACAAACGAAGTCAATACTATGATACATTTAAAGCAGGGTCGACAAACTGCCGCCCATGGGCTGAATGCGGCCCACGAACTATTTTTTGCGGCCTTCGAACTTCCCGACTATAAATGCATAACACAAAAATTGATTATGAATTTATCGTTGTCTCCATATGGATTTGCGTGGTAACATATGCAGCTGTACGGCGCCTTTTTACAGTTCTCAGTTGTATGTTTTTACTTGATGATGGTTGTAATTTTAAAATAAGTTTATTTTGATTTTTAAAATATAAAAGTGTCCGGGAACGGAGGGAAGTTCGCGTTGAAGGTCGAACACTCTGAAGTGCCGAGTTAGCATCGCAGCTATAAAGGGATTCAATGTCATTACAGAAGGTGTCACTGCAATACGAAACTTTACCCCGAGATCCCAGGTTGCTCATTGCTCTGAGCGACAGTGTAGAACGTGTAATGTGCACGCCCGGAAGCACATATTGCTATTATCAGCTTTGTCTGCAATGTATTACACGTAGAATAAATTTCATACTAGCTTGTCAGATTGTCATTTGGACGACGTACTGTGGGGCAACAAGGTTGTCACTTGATTTCAACGCTTTGGCCATTACACAGAAAAAACATCAAGTAAATAAAAACAATGTATTCAACTGCAATGTAACAACTCCAAAAAGTTTAAAATACTTCGAACAATGCATCAGTCAGTGTTGGCTTATACGTGCTTCGTACGCATAAAAATACCTACGCATTCTATGCTGTTACTATAGGTAGATGGTTTATTTATTATCATTCAGAGCGATTGCTAATTTATAGTCGCAGAAAGATGCTTTCCTGAGCAACGACTTCTCTAACATGCACTAACCAGCGAGATGCCAAAGTGACATAACAATAAACGTTGAGCAGCCGCTAGACATTTTTGTCACCCAGGCAGATTTTCAGGCATGGTTGTAAACATTACTTCGTTTTCGCTTAATATTCGTTGGTTTTTGAATTATTTAAGTATGAATCTAATAACTCATTGATCATTTTGCTCCTCTTATGGGTTTTATTATAATTGCAATGATTAAACATCAGTCTAGATTAGAAGCTGTGATGGACCATAGGCTAAACTTTTCTACCAGTATTTTTATGTAAATGACAGGCTGTTTGATGTTTCAATCAAAATACCCTCTCCTGGAATTTTACTCTATTCTTTATTAAAATTTCTTCAAATCATTTTTCAAATATCATGGGCGTGCCTGATTTGAGAGTTAATAAGAATGAGATGTGGCTCCACAGTTTTTGAAGCAGTTAGTCTTCAATTCCGAAAAGTATTTCTTGTCTTTGCGTTGAATTTCAGTCAGAACAGAAATACATATTCAAAGAGCAACGGAGATGGAAATACTATTTTAATTGCTGGGAGACCGATCATTGAATTGGATTAGCAATGGGACCAAACTGATTTAGTCTCAAATGCTGCTCCTAACAATAACAATGCTGAAGAGAATTGAAGGCTAACCCAAATAATTTATATATACTTGATCAGTGCTTTCAAATAGTTCCGAAGCACGGAGCTCTCTCTCAAGCCCCACAATTTAAGAATCACTGAAATTCTAGCTCATTTCTCTGCACCTAGTAATGAAATTACTACAGTACAATATATATTTTATTATAATTGCTGTCCACTATAAAACTTAAATAATACCTTCCTAGTTATAAATATATTTAAAGCAATTACACTAACACCAAAGCAAACATGATTCTTTTTAAGGAAAATAAATTGAAAAAATGGGTCAGAAGCGTTCACAGCAGTTCGAGAGAACAATCTCGTGATTTTTCAAACCTGATTACATTACACAGGCGAAAGAAAAAACATTTCAATTGCATTTTGGCACTGCACACATAACCTTTCATACCATAGAGAAATATGGTGTAATGGTACAAATTAGTCAGAGTCATAAGATTATTGAATCATACATTGATGTTGCGGTCGACATGCAGCTATCATTGATAAATTGATGTTGCGGTCAACATGCAGCTATCACTGATAATAACACAGACTAGGAAAATACAGTACATGATTGATCACAGTATACATTCAAACAAAATTTACCAAGTCAAAAACTGAGCTCTGCGTACCAAGCAAACTCAGGTGGATAGCTGGTTTCACAAACAACTAACACATTTTAATGCACAGTTTATCATTATTAAAATTTACAATGATTAGGGATTTTGGCAAAAGCAGACTTTTGACTAGAAAAGGTTTTATTCGTAGTCTTGCTATTCCTTTACAGCAACTTCTGCAAAAAGTGATCTGTAAAAATAAATCAATATTTCACTGCATGATAGAAAGTTAAAATCGTAAATAAAATGAACCAAATTTTATATACCATTATTGTCAATGCAACTATTAAGAAATACTTAACAATATGAAAAGTGCATTTTAGAATTTCTTATTGCCACGTTTGTATTTTTGTCCATATTTATTGCAATATTGGATGTTATAAAACTAAATGAGCACTCTGTCACACAAAACAAAAAGTCTTAATCCTTACGATAAAAAGTAACTTTGTGACAAGTGCTCATCAAAGCTAAGAAATGCGGACGGATTAGAATGGATTTTTTTTATTTTGCAAACACAAAAAACATTTTTCAGTGAGATTTCACATAAAAAATCTTTATTATTTCAATAATAATACACCACATAACACAGAAAGTTAGTTTTACATCAAGTAATTTCGAACATAACAAATGATTGGTCAAATATACAAAGTTTCATCAGAATAATTTTACCATTTTCTAATAAAACAAATCCTTGTGTTAACATAGCTTAAAATGCGAATCAATAAAAAAAAGACACATTCCAATGTGATAACTCTACAAACTAGCAAAAATGTCAGCATGCATGATTTTAAGATTAATACAAAACACTTTGTTTTAAGTTACCCTTCAGACTTCCAATTAAACTTTGGGAATATGATTTTCTTCAATTCTAGTGAATGGAGATGATCAAAAATAATAAGTTAATTGGCTTTAACCTAGGCCTATAACCTAAGTATATACTTTATTCAAGCACAGTAATAAAAACTAGCTAGCTTCATTTCTCCCATATGAAACACATACTAGGCAAAAAACCAAGCCTCCCTGCAAAAGATATTTGACATATCACACCACCTGCATTTTCTAGAAAAGGCTTCAACTGAGACTATATTCGATAAACTACTAGCATCATCATTCACTAACACTTGTCTATGAGCTCTTGATTCACAGTGCATTCTGACAAAAGACCATAAATATCCTAGAAATCTAATTTGAAACTGTGAACCAGAATGTTACAAACTAGATTTAGATTTGTCTTGTGCATTACAACATATCTATAATTGGGATCCAAAGGCCAATTGAGTCATGTGTATGACAATTTAACATAGATTTTGAGTGACATAGTGTTGTGACTTGTGAATGAACAATCTGGACAAGAGCGCCCATTTTAATACGAGATATTAAACAACTCCTGCTAGAAAAAAAAATGAAGGAAGGCAGATGTTACTTAAACAATTACGAGTTTGGCAGGACCAGAATCCTCAGCTACAGCAGGAGGGAGATTTTTGGTTTTCACTCAAGAGAACTTGCTGTCTATAGAAGTTCCAAAGTAAATTCGTATTATATTTGGATATTTCATAACATCTGGTTTTCAATCAAATAATGAACCTCTGTCAGAATGCACTTTTATACATTTACCATATGATGATGCATTTTTTACTTAAAATGATGATCAAGTGTTCTAGCTGTTTGCCGGCAACAGAGGATTTTGAAACTTCGAATGAACAACCAACAAAAACATCTACATACGCATCTGCGAAAAGTACGATCAATTCTACAAATCCCCATGGAAATAAGTTAAGATGATAAATTGATAATCTGATAAATCTTCTATAATGTAGTGGTAGAATATATGAGATGTATGTATTTCTGTCTTCAATACTCTAGTATATGACTACCAACACAATTTGTAACAAAATATTAAGAATGGTAATCTATGAATACCCACATTTATTCCTTGAGATGAAGATTTTCTGATACCAATAATGTCAGATATATTTATGTCTGAAGATAAATGAATCATAAAACTATGAAGATAGTAACTCGTTAACAAACCTGGGTGATGTTCTTTTACAACAACTCCATCCACTTATTTCTTTTATGATTAGCCTTGTCAGCAGCTGGAAATTTGTGAAGCAAATATATTTATAAAGTCACAATTACCTATGTGCATTTCAAGATTATTAGGTAGATTCCTTGAAATCTTCATATGCTCAATTACTTTAAGTCAGGGGTCTCAAACTCAATTTACCTGGGGGCCGCCGAGACGGAGCCTTAGTGAGTCCGGGCCGCATCACAATAAAAGCATTAACTAAACCTAAAAAGTTAAATCTTTTCCCCTGTTTTTCTATACGCAAAACATGTCAAAAACATAAATGTAAGTAATTCCGCGACGGACCTTTCCCGAAGCATCTACTTCCTTGTTTATTCCGTAACATGGGCTAATCAACAACATGCAAAAAATGGCGTAACAATAGACTTTTTCGCAAACGCTCAGACACTTGTCACTCAGAAAGATTTTCAGGCATGTTTGTAAACATTACCTCGTTTTTGCATGCTATTTGTTAGTTTTGGGTTGTGTTTCAGAAATTCAAGTATGAATCAAAGAACTCAATGATCATTCTGATTGCTTGGGCGTCGTAGCTTAATTGCCGTAATCGAAAATTAGTCTAGAAATAGCTGTGATAGACTAGGCTAAACTTCTCTACCGGTACCGTACTGTTGAAAAACAGGTTGTTGAAAGTTTTGAATCAAAATGATGACGTGAAACACATACCCCAGTTTATAGGGTTCAACTCGCGAAGCCACCTCTAAAATAAGCACCAAGAATTTGCAATGGTGAGGTATAAAAAATTTCTTCGTGGTCAAGATCCATCGAATATCATGCCTACAGGTACCGTACTAGTAGGTTACCGTACCGCATATTCCTTTCGGGGGATAGATTATAGGATATTTTGTTTTGCTCTACTTGTCCTGATCATATATTAAATGCATCAATCATTCTAACTGAGCTGAGCGACTTACGGGCCGCACTGCACCGCACATTAAACTTTCATACCAAGGCGGGGGCCGCAAGCTATCGTCCTGCGGGCCGCAATTGGCCCGCGAGTTTGAGACCCCTGCTTTAAGTGAAATTTTTCCATGTTTAGGATTGTTTAAAATATTATGACCTTGTCATGGATGTTTTGGTGGGATTGTTTTAATAACTTACAATATCTTTGCAATCATTGTGTCATTAGTTAGTCATTATTTGTTTACAGGCTTGTTCAAGAGTGCTCTTTACTACTAGCTTATTATTTTGTAGCAAGATCATAGAGGGAGTTGTTTATGTAGAATCTGCCTCGAGGCATTAAAATTTCCAAGATAATCATGCTAACACTTGCACCACATCAGTTTTCTCTACATAATTCTTACCAAGCAAGCAGCTATGTTGGATGCAATTAACATATAAAATACTTTATTCCAACCATGTGGTGAAATGATTCCTGTTAATAAAGGACCAATAGCAGCACCTGAAAACAAATAATAAGATGAGAATGTGTTATAAAGAAAATACCCATAATGCAAACACTCAAACAGTTCATTTTCAAGGATAAAAAAACCTAACCTCTGCATTCGTCATAACCAGAATGTCATGACAACGAACAGAGTTTATCTAAGATAACTGGTCTTTACAAAAGAGAACATTGAACATGGAAAATAAAATTAACATCGAACAACTGATCAAGTATTGGTTTCACATATTTGATCAGGAAAAACTATGATGTTTAAGTTTTTGCAGTCTCAAGTCAAATATCCAAACTGAAATCACTCACCAATAGATCCTGTTCCATCTATTATAGCAGTAACAGTAGCCAGGGCTTTTGAATTTCCCTCTAAAACTAAAAAAAATAACAGTAATATATTTTCAAACTAAGAAACATTTCAAACTAAGTAAAAACCTTTTTCTCAAAAAAATGAGAAACTCAACAAGTGCAGAAATGAAAATCATCAAATTTAAAGTATTCTGATACTATAATCAATGGACAGGAACGAAAATGTGAAAAACAGAATGTCACATATATTATTGAACATATAGCACAATAAAAGTAGACACCAAAAGTACATATTAAAATATCCGGAATGTATGTGATATGATTCCATTGCTACATATATATAGGTCAGTTACATTCAGTTGCTTTGCGTTAGGATATGATTTACATATTTATCCGAGGGAGAGGAAAGTTATAAGACGGCTTAACCATATGGCAAACCAGGGCCTCTCGACCTGTTACCATTCCATATCGGGTATGGAATTAGTTGGTTATTTGTTTTCGGAAGCATGGACTTGATGGAGTAGGAAGCTGTAACTGACCAGCGATTATGTGAACTACCCTACGGCGAGGAGTCCAGCAATCCTTTCGCACATAACCATCCCCGCATGGGTTTTGTGCGGTGGAGAGCGTATTCCTAGCGCTCAGCTCGATGAGCCACATCGCCGCGACAATTAGGAGCAGAATATTTGTCAAATGACTTAGTCTGATTAGGATATGTGCATATTAAATAATTTTTATAGTCATTTATACCTGAATGTGTTCCTAAATCAGCAGATACAGCAGTGGTGATGAGAGCATAAGGTCCATTGACAAATGCACCGGTAATAAGAAGTAAAACAATATTTATTGTATTACTAACATTACCAAATGCATTATAAAGAAACATCTGAAAATGGGAAAACAATGAGTCACTACAAAATGTCGGCTGAAACAACTTTACGATACAATACAAGTTTTTTCAATTTGTGTATAAAGAACATTTCAATTTGATAATTAATGCTGCAAAACAGCAGTTTATCAGTCGCCACCTAATTAGATTTCAGACAGAAAGTTTTGAATAGGTACGTTCTAAACAACAAAATGTTATAGAAAAAGCCTGGACTGTACCATTCCATTATAGTTGAACAGAGTTATGTAGTAATAGTATTACTCACCATAACAGCGCCTATGATCAGCATAAATCCGCATGTGACAGCACGATCTCCAGCAGCATCAGATATAACTCCTGCCGTTATTCCTCCAACTATTCCACCAATATCAAACAATGTACTCATAAGTCCAGATTGTTTTACATCCAAGTTGGCTACAAATAGAAAATAATTTTAGTTTAGTTTATTCAAATACAGGTAATAACAATTCTATGCAATTTTGTATACATGTATACTATATATCACCAACCATGTTAAAAATTTTCTTTATGACAAAAATGCATACCAAATGAAATCATCATTCAAATTGATACAGGACATAGCAAAATAAAATTATTGAAAATGAATACACGCGTATTTTCGTCTATGAGAGAAGAGGTTTTCAGCAGGAAAATAATGATACATATGCCAAACTGATGTAGCCAAACAACATAGCCTTAACTATACTAAATATAATATTTTACTTACAGTTATTTTGTATATATAATGGAAGCCAAAATAAGAATGTGTAACTGACCAACTTTGCAAATAACAAACACAGTGAGAATTCAATTACACCCTGCAAATAAAAATAATATGGTAACATTATAATCGTATATTGTCGTGGGGGTTTTATTGAGGGCCGTGGCGAATGAGCTGTAGCCTGAACCTGTGACATGTTGTTGGAGCTGGAGTCGAAGCTTCCAGAAATTGTAGTTGCTCCAGCTCCTAACTATCTTATGATATGTTCACACTTATAACCAATATTAAATATCTATTTTCAAAAGTAATATTTTTGGCGCTCCCGTAGTATGTGCAACAAGATGGTGAATACCTGGGGACTATCCAAATGACCACCGTAATGTTTGTACCTGAAATTATGGTATAACCCTAACCTGATACACATACTACGTTCCGGTGTCCGCCATCCTGTTGCACATACTACGGGAGTACCTATTTTTATATCATGATTTCCAACTGCCATAAAACTGCATTTGGGCTGATGTTTCACGGTAGTGACCATACCAAAAACGATTCACGGCACTGGAGCCTATGCTGAGGGTTGATTGAGGAATCAGGAGAGTTGACATACAGTATTTTACAACTCATTCCATTATAAACCAATATGAATTTAAAAGTATTCCTGTCATTATTTGCCATGTATTGAACCTAATTTCAATATCTAATCAGTTGTTTGCCAGTCATCACGCCATTTACACAACATAAGTCATAAACAAACAAACAAACATTGCTTGCTGAAACTTGAGAGCTTGCAACCATTGGCAGAATATGATGCACAGTTTTATATATAAATAGTTTAAATTTGTAATTTTGTTCATTCGAATGGATTAATGTATAACATGTCATACTAATTATATTATACTAAATATATGTATTTATTGTCATACCATTATCCCTTCAGTGAAATAGGAATTCCACCGGAATAAAAAAATGTCATTTAAAAATCGCAGAATATGATGCACAGTTTTATATATAAATAGTTTAAATTTGTAATTTTGTTCATTCGAATGGATTAATGTATAACATGTCATACTAACTATATTATACTAAATATATGTATTATATGTCATACCATTATCCCTTCAGTGAAATAGGAATTCCACCGGAATAAAAAAATGCCATTTAAAAATCGAAATGCAGTTAAACCGCACTTACAGGAATAAGAACTGCAGTGAGAATTCCTACAGCTTTTTCTTCTCTTGGTTTGCTTTCTGGGTTCAGATTTGGATCGCCTATTAAGTTTTCTGTAGACGATCTTCTTAATACTGAAGCATCTTCAAAACCATTAACAATGTATTGCTGATCAGCATCATCCTGAAGCAAGATAAATATTATTAAAACATATTACAACATATGCAAATGTCATGTATTTGTTACAGCATTCTGAAACGGCATATAAACACAGTGTTCATTTCTTCAGATCAATAACTGTTATGATTTACTACATGTGAACCTTTAAAAAATCACATGACATGAAATTCTTAAAAACTATTTCACCAATATTTCCACAGAATATGAAAATGCAAGTTGACCAAAATATGATATTGAAAAATAGTATACCGAGAACTTGTATGATTACAAACAAATTTTCAATTTTTTTCATGCAAGTAAAATCTGTTATGTAGTGCGATCTTACTTCACATTAGATAGGAAAAATGAAATAAACTTAGATAATTATATATTACCATAAATTTGCATAAAATATTATTACAATATTTTTTATAAAAGAGCATGTTTCAAGGCATACTTCACAGCATCACAAAAATAAATATACAGAAGGTAGAAAAAAAAGTTGTTTTGAAACCAAGCAGATTCCAATCCTGCTCATGTGATAAACCATTCAATTAATTATTAATCAAGCAATTATGCACAGCACTAAGCAAACGAATATTATGTACAAATATAAAATATATTTTATAGGCTATATATTGCTATGAAGAAGACCGAGGTCTCTGGTAAATCAGCCTCTAATATATTTGGAATAGTGACAGACAGTGTTTGACAGTTTTTTAGTTGGCATAGCCTATCCAAGTCAATAACCAAATGTAAGATGTTTGGAACACACTTTGAATATAAAATCCCTATCCTCCAACGTCAAAAATTGAATCTCCTTGTTCCTTTTTTATTCTATCTATAAATTCAGCTGAAGATAGTTCATAGGCAGCAATCAACAATGTGACCTATTTATCATTTGAATATATAAATTGTTTTATTTCAGCAACAGGTGATCTTAGTTAACAAAACTGAGAAAATAATTACCTTTTTTCATTAATAACAATCACAAGGCAATATTGTTTATACATACTTGTTCTGATGTAGGAATAGGTTGATAAAATGATCTTGAGGTCGAAGGTTCATCAATTTCATGTACAGGAGGTGAACATCCAACATCCTCTGGGTCTATAAGCAAATATATATAATGAATGAACTTTGATTAATATCTTTGTGATCAATAATAGTATTTCAAATTCTTTTATTAAGCAAAACACACACAACATGTGATTAAGTATTGTCTAATTTTATCAAAAGAAAGCATTGTTGAAATCTGTTGAAATTGAATTCGATTTTCTACTCAGTAATAATATCATCAACCATGTTAAACAGGGTTGAATCGTCAAAAAAACATGATTTAATAATAAATGATAATAGGATACAACAAAATTGTCACATCAAAAATTTAAAAATGCACTCACGTTCCACGAGAGTAAGAAGGCATAATATTCCCATAGAACCAATGATAATTCCCGGCACTATAAATGACCATGCCCACTCAGTTTGTACATATTTTGCAGCGATTATAGAGCCTAAAATATTTCCTACTGAGGTATGAGAGTTCCAAACGCCCATGATAAATCCTCTCCTAAAAACATATTTCATATAAAATGCTAGTAATTTATACGCTAATATAGTAATTTACAAGAGTTGATCACATAGCAAAATATGATATAAACATGATATATTTCAAATATTGACATGAAAACTTGAACAACATCATAATTTGTGTAATAAGAATAGTTCAGTTCTTCCGACATACCTTCCTTTTCCAAACCATTTACCAACTGCCGCTACCACACCAGGCCATCCAGTTGTTTGAAAAAATCCATTGAGAACCTGCGTTGAAAAACAAAAATGATTTTTTTTAATTACTCATATCCATAACATATCGTAGGTTTGCAAACCATTCAGGCAAGTTGACATGAAAATAAGAAAATTTTGACGCATTCTCGTCCTTTCATAACACTTTCACCTTTCATAAGAAATTCATACACATGTGCGTTTTGGCTGATTAAGAATATAATATATATTGGAGATGTTCAAAATCTGTCAAGCATGAGTAAAAGTAATATAAAATAACACTCTGTAATATCGGTATCATATTGAGATATTTGCATTTTCAGGTTTCCATTTCCCAGAATGAAGATTGACATTTTTCAACATTAATACCATCCATACCTGGACTAATATATAAAACCATAATGCATGTATATTCCAGAAATGTCCAAATCCAAACAAAGACGTGAAAATTCCACAAAATATCATCCCAAATCCAAGAAAGTAACGCAATGGCATTCGCTCACCAACATATCCGCTAAAATAGAAAATCATAAGTTAGTAGTTCCTAATTATACTCCACATACTCCATAAATATAATTGGCGAAAAAACAAATAATATGAGTATGATAGCAAATTTAATGGATATTTTAGAATATTTTATCTAAAAGTTGCTTATTATTAATTTCTAACATTCGAATTGAATTATCAATAGTTCTCACATCAAACAACACTTTTCAAACATCTAGTGGTAGTTATATACTCCCATTTACCATATTCAAACATTTTACAATCTATTCTCTTCAAAAATTCCGTGACTTTGCACTGTTTTGGCATCATTTCCAAACATGGTAATTGTCTTATAATTTGTAAATTTTCAACAAGGTTCAATGTACAAATTTCTATTTAAAATACCACAAACATACCTGATAAACATGGCAATAGCATAAGTGAAAAGAAATGCATAATCAAGAGCACCATACAACGATTTGTAGTTTGGTTTGTCTACAAATTAAAATATATACATAAATGACTGATACATAGCTGGAACTCATTTAAAATAAATTTGGAGCTGATAGCATTTAATTAAAATTGAATTATTTTGCATATGGTTAAATTGGATAATTGGAAATTGTATGCAATACCGTTCAAGTCAAATTGACCAAAACAAAAACATGATTAGGTATTTGTCAATATTGATAGAATATTATTGCATGATATATGATTAATAAATTTATTAAAATTGAAGACTAAGTGTCTCCAAGTTGAATTATCAGTGTTTTGTTTCAGCTATTCAAAGCTATATGATGCAATAAGGTAATTTAATACAGATTGTTATTATATTAAACTTTGTTCACATTCAAGTTACATATATTCAAGCTCATGCACTATATCAATTTATTAAATTCTTTGATTATTATGGATCTCGGAATAATTTTCTCAAATACTTAAATCTATATGATATTTTATTCTCAAAAATGAGAAAGTCAATTGAATGGATCAAAATGCAAAGTACGAATAAATTACCAAAAGGAGCCCAGTCACACCAAGTGTCATTACTTGTTCGATATGAGTTATTATGACTGTACTCTGGGGCTTGGTGTAATAATTGGATTCCCGAATGTGAACCAAAATATATGTTGTATCCTTCAGATATATTTGAACAATTTCTGTGTAATTCACCCTGAAAAAATATATGGATTTTGTCCTAATTCAAGAACAATTGTCAGGAATCTGAATATTCCTTCATTAATTAAACCTAAATCATAAAATAAACGTATATATATATATAGATATATACACATATTTAATGAAATATTACACTAAAGAAATCCAACATTGATATTAATAAGTGTTACGTGTATACACAACATAGCTTACTTATATAAATACAACAATGGGCGAAGTACAAAGTTCACCAAAAGGAGTGAACACTGCCGAACAACAGATTTACGAAACCACAAATGACTGTAAAACACCCGTAAGGCAAATAGCAGGTCATTGGGATATGACAATATGATAAATCTCATTAAGTTTACCAGAAATATTCATTCACCAAAATAGCTAAATATTATGTGTTGAGTGCCCTCTTTCTCAATACATTTCGTTTGCTTGCCATACGGACAAAAGTACATAAACTTTTCAGAAGTACCAAACCAAGTTAACCATTTGTACAGTAGATAAGAACACCATATACAGCCCAAATTTTGTATTCTAAATACAATTGAAATCAATTGAGACATTTTGTAAATACATACCTTGACAATACTTATTGGTTTTCTGCTAAGATGATATGAAGTATAGAACATAAAAGTCAAGATCAATACGGAATAACGATATCTGAAAAATTTAAATATATGTATATTGAGCAGCTGTTTCAAGGTGGAATATTCAGCATCAAGAAATACACTTAAGAACATAATAGACATGAAATGGGTGTCAAATTATTCCACACATCATCATCATTACAAAGGTTTTAAAAAAAATGGCAAGTATGATACTGCATTTTTGTATGGCCTGTACATAATAATAATGAATTGAATCTCTAGTATTTTTGTAACACATACAGTTCGAACAATGATATTCGACACTTCAATGTTTTTTTTCAAACCCTGTTAGAGTAAGTTACAGTCCAAGTTTATTCATCTTTATCTGCATGATTGTGTCATAAAAATATTCTAATTACTGTTATTATCACTTATATTGAATTAGTGGCTTTACCCATTTTAGTTATGAAGAATTAATCATGCTACAAAAAAGTATAAATCTCATTTTTATAATAAACGTAAATATTATCAGAATATAGGAATAAATGGTATAGAATCTTTATAATAAACTAAACAAATTTTTCTAATTACTTACAAGCAATCTCTAATACTTCCACAAGTGCATTGAAAAGAACGTATTAATCGTACAATTGGAGGAATGGAAGCCATGATGATTTTTGATATTGACTGAGTCTTGCTGCTTCGTTTTTTATATCACATTATGAGTATTTAATGAAATGGAAAACTTATAAGTAATTAAATTATAAATGACAGACATCAGCTGTTACAACATAAAAGTGTATATGTTACATCATTTTTCACAGTTCATACATTATGCTATTGAAACTGGCTCAAAGATGAGCTGATAAGCCAGTATTTCTGTAAGCAGAGCAACTATAAGCCCTACATCTAATAATTTATAAAGAATGGGAGACATAGAATCTGGACTGGTGGTTCTCAAACTGGGGTCAATGGACCCCTTAAGGGTCCACAAGGGGATATCAGGGGGACTGCAAGAGCCTTTAGCTTTTGCGTTATAAGCTAACGTTGTCATTTTGCATTTTCTTCTTGGTGTGAAAAATGTTTTTTTTTTAACTACAGGATCAAATGCTTTGAAAGTTTAAGTGGTGAATGATTGTTGTTGTCGTTAGGAAACTGAAAGCGAGGAACAAACTTGATGTTCATGAATAAATGCGATAAATCTGAAAGCTATTTGCGTACAAGAGGAGTAGCAGCTAATTTAAATATTGCCCGAATATCTATATGCTATGTTCCTCCATTGTGTTAATGGTTTGAAAATTGTGGATAACCTAGAATTTAATTCCCACCTGCAGAACTTACAAAAGGCCTTGTTCTTATCATCTGGAGGGGCAAACCATTCCTAAGCCAATCTTTTCTAAATTTTTGCTGGTAGTGTATACACTGAAGGTTGATGGGACATGGGGTGTAGTATAGTTTAGTACCACAAGTACTGCCAGTGGGCATAGCATAACGAATTTTGCATATGTTGTTCCTAATCCCCGGCTGACTATGCAATCCAAAAATTACAACGCTAGGACGTCACCATCATGTCATAGAGCAGGGGTGGGCAACCTTTTTCGGCTCGCGTGCCAAAATCGGATAAATTTATCGACAAAATTCTTCCGCGTGATTTTGACGACTAGTCAGGTGAGGGTTAGGAATGACATATGCAAAAATTGTCGAGCCTGGCCAACTAGAATTGCATGTGGTATTAAACTATACCAGACCCGGTTGACGGTTAAAGAGCAGAAAGAGACAAATTCAATAGTACCTATAGACTTAAATAACTTAATAATTTTAAAACCCCTTGGCAACAATATCATCGGACCAAGGTCTTCCTCTGTATTTAACGTTAATTAAAACGTCACATGTTTTAAACACGTTTAATTCGTTATTCAATTCGATTATGGGGGGAGCTGACTCCGATGACCGTATGGTCGTAAGACTCGTATCGCTCCTCCCAGTCTATACCGAATAACTTCGCGTTTACTGTCTGTATATTTTTATTATTATTGATGTAATTGTTTTCCTGGTTGACGAATAATAAATCTCTCTCTCTCAATTATTTAAATATTTTAAGTACATACAGAAATATGGTAGGGTACGGTACAATACAATTTTAATGAGTTTTATCAATCTTACATCTACTTCTAAATAATGAAATATTATTCATTCACCTATTACAGTATTACAGTATTATACACATCTCTTTATTTATTTCCCACTGAATAATATTTAGAACCTTAAAAAAAAATATCTAGATTTTATAGCTAACATCTAGGCTCCAAATTTTACATCTTGATCTTCAGATCTTGGAAAAAACATCCAGATCTAGCTATAAAACATCTAAAGTGGCAGCCCTGGGTTCACGTAACCGCTGGACGGTTACAGCTTCCTCCACTATCAGACTATGGATGTAACAGAAAACAAAATAATTGGATAACTAATCCTGTTCCCAACATGCAGACATGGAACGCTTTGGAACCGGCATTCTGGCAGCCGGACGAGAAGCTGTGGTTGGTCGTATGATCAAGCCGCCAAGCGAGACATTTTTCGAAGTCGGAAGCTTTTCGATGCCGGTGACGCACTGTACCGTACGTAAGTTTATTCCGGGTTTCTATTCCAACAAAGCAAACAAACAAATATACGATAAATCAGGGAAGTAGGCTAATCTGATAATATTTAAGACGTGCTGGCACGTGCCCACTTACCTTACCCCCCTTAAGGTCTGCAAGTGTAAGGTACTGGAAGCTGAACCAAAATTTTTGAAACCTGGTGACGCAGCTATGGTCAGACTTCGCCGTCCGCGACATGCGACAGACTGTTGTTGTTGGAGTCATCAAGGAAACTACCAAAAAGGCCGGGAATGTGAAAGAAACCAAGGCAGCAGCTAAGGCCAATAATAAAAGCAGGAGCAAAGAAGTGACTGGAAGCATCTGGCGCCCATCAACAGCTTGAACTTAAAAAAGGCTTGATTTTGCTTCATTTAATCCTCAAAATCATGATAAAGTCAAATAGGCAATATATTTATTCTGCCTAATCTTATTTCACTTGAATTCTGCATTCCTTGATTGCGAATTTTATTTTTATGTATATAAATTTCAATTCTTGCGTAATCTTTGGCCTTGGTCAACGACTGTCAACGACTAACATACGGCCTTGGTGTACGGGAAATTTGAACACCACTCCATGTAAGGATCGTCGGGAGTAATAATTTCATTCTGAGGTAGAGATGAAAATTATATTATAAATTCAGCAATCCTTTTAGTAATTCAGCGTAAAAATTACTGAAGTTTTGACATGTAATCTAATCGCAGAGAACAACACAACCAGGCCCAATTTTAGATTTTTACTCGGATGTTTAGTTTGTTTTTACATTAATTAAGTTCAAAAAAATATTTCCCTACCACGGGGTCTAGAGTTGGTCCAGTTAGGTATTTTCCTGCACGCCTTCCAGCAAATATTCTTCACATCAATTTCACTATTGCATCGTACTCCTGTTTATTTCGTTTTTGAGAAGGATTACTCCTGCTCAAATCTACGCTCCTTGCATATGTTTACAGCACAATAGATTCAGATTCAGATATATTCAGATATTTATTTTTCGTCGTGCAAAAACATTGTACATTTAAACAAATGGTAAAAATTAAATAAATACATTGAAAGAAAGAGGTACAATATTTGGACTGCAATAGACGAGGGATCGCGAAAAGACTATCAAAAGTCATCATGTCAGCGACACCATTATAGAAGCAGATTAAGTCAAACAATACAGAAATAAATCAGCAAAAATAAATGAAACAATTTGGGAACTAAAATGTACGTGAGAACAGAAGATTCGATTAAATAGAAAAAAGCATTGACGAATTTAAACAACTCAACGCCATGCTCCACCGAGCACGCCAACAACAAAGAAATTGCTGACGTGCGTGACGCAGCATAACGTTGTTGACTACTTGGGGAATTCCCTGCAGCAGCAGCAGTGGAACTACTAATATAACCAATGAATTATGATTAAGAAAAAGACATATTCAATTTATTTTGGATTGCAAAGAGCACATATATATTGGAAAATATTAAACGACATATGTGAACTACAATGGATGAAAGCATATTAAAGAAGCAATGACTATTAGAGGTAACTAAAGTTTTTGAATTTTGTCTTTGTTATAAGAGTTCATAATACAGTTATTTTGTGAAGTGACTTTCATAAGGAGCACATGCTATTAAATAATAAAATAGCAGTAATGGAAATCAATAAGGTGAAAGGATACCTAGCTTATTATAGAATCTTGAGCAAATAAAGGTAAGAAACACAAGTGCTTTGTGAGAGAAAGTCATGCTCTGTGAGCAGCACATACTATTGGAGTATACCACAGTATTGAAGAGCAAATAAAATAATAATAATACAAGGATAGTGATAGCATATCATGAGAATAATGACAAGATGAAGGTAACACCCATAATTTGAAAAAAGTGAGTTTCAAACAGTCTGAGATACATTTCAACTCTGCCAGCCTACTGACAGATATAAGAATCTAAGTAAAGAAATTTTAGTGCTTTTTTGAATGAATTATAAGTCTTAGAGCGAAGTGTGTCTTGGAGCGTATTCCAGAGTTTCACACCGATGAATTTAATAGAGCTTTGTGAACGATTGGTAGAAAAGCGAGGTACATGGTATGAGCTATTGGCAGCGGAACGAGTTGAATGAGAGTGAACACTCATCTGTTTGACAAAATAGTATTTAAAAGCCATAGGCAGTTTATTGTTTAGGTGTTGGTGCATGAGTTTCAGTATCTCGATTTTATAAATGTCTGACATTTTGATTATTTGATTCTTATGGTAAAGAGGATCTAATCTTGACATTGGTCCAGCATGGGTCAAAGCACGGATAGCCCTGTTCTGTAATACTTCAATCCGGTGTAACAAAGTTTTATTAGCTGATCCCCAAGCTATAATACCATATTGCAAATGAGATTGAAACAGAGCGAAGTATATCATGCGTAACGTAGACAAAGAAGTATAACGCCTAAGCCGATAAAGCATTCCTACCGCCTTGGCTAATTTAACAGCAGTGTTGGTTATTTGAATGTCCCATTGCAGTTTGTTATCAATGTGGATGCCAAGATATTTGAATGAGCTAACGTTGTCAAGAATAGTTCCTTCAATCTCAATTTTCACAGATGTCTGTGATTTGGATTTACTTGGAGCAAACAACATAGTTTTTGATTTATTTACATTTAATGTTAATTTGTTTTGTTTCATCCAATTTGCTACTTTTCTTATTTCAGTGTTCACTCTGGACTGAAGCACATCCGGAGACTTGTCGCTATCTAGAAGATTGGAATCATCAGCAAATAATTTTGTAAATAATGAGGAGCTGTGTGCAAGATCGTTGATGAAAATAAGGAATAATGTCGGGGCCAAGCATGATCCTTGTGGGACTCCATGAGTCACATGTAAGGTGGGGGAACAGTATGAACCCATTTGAACAAATTGTGTTCTATTTGTCAGGTAATTTGCCAGGAGTTGGCTCGCTACTCCTCTAATTCCATAATGCCACAGCTTATAGACTAAGATTTGGTGATTAACAGTGTCAAAAGCTTTCTTAAGATCTAAGAAAGTTGCACTAATATATTCTTTTTTCTCTAATTTATCGTATATATGGGATATAGTGTCTAGAATTGCATGCGAAGTGGAATGTTTGGCTTGAAAACCAAACTGTGATTTATTAAGTACACTATGTTTTGTGAAAAAATCCATTAGCCTCCTATT